CACACACACACACACACACACACACAAATAAAATACACCACTGCTCTTAGCCACTCCAGGCTGCAGTCTAGGCTAGAGTTCCCTTTGGGGAAACAATGTTCCCAGAAGTCAGTCCTTCCTAAACTGTCACTCACTTACCTCCTTTTACCCAACACTTGGAAAGCTGCACAACCTCTCTCAGCTACCTAGAACATGAGGGTGCAGCAGAGTCTTTTATGGCGCACTGTCATAGCACACAAGGAAGGCACAACTCATCTTTCACTCTCCCTCCCCCTGTACCACTGCAGAGTGGGGCATCCAACCACACAGGTGTAACCTGGAAGGCTCAGGCAAGCAGGCATCTGATACCTACGCCCTAACAACTCCCTCCTGTGGAGGCTCTCCTCACCCCAACAGCTAGGAAGAGACTTGAGGCAGCATTGGACTTCAATTACTTCTAAATAAACAATGAACCTAGAACCACTGTGAGGGGAAGTTGGATAGCAGAAAGCCCCTGTCTGGCCCTTAGAGTGTACTCCAAAAACCCACAGCAGGATGAAAGTCCTTGGGTCTGGGTTTCAAAGCTCATCAAGAAATAGGTTGCTGGACCTCAGCGTTTCCCTTGCACGGTTTTTGAGACAGATACTCATTGTATGACTCAGGCTAGCTTCAAATGCGGCCACAGCCTCCCAAGTACTGGAATACAGATGTGCACCACCACACCCAGCAGCAAGAAATAACAACTTTATGAAGTTCCTTGGGTGACATCCTAAGAAACTACCTGAGAATGCTGGCGGGGAGAAGACCGGGTCCAGCACTGCCTCCAGGCGTTCCCTGTCTGTAGCTGGCCAGCCAAAAGCTACAGTGAAAAGCATTGGGCTCTAGTATTTTGAGGAGGTACTGGTGGATTGAAGCCCAGATGGACCAGAGCCCACTCTCAGAGCAAGCTGGCTCCCCACTCTCCCCTTCTCATCTCCTGGAAAATATGGTGGTGCTTACTCTTAATATGGACCTGTCAGTCTGGCATGCAGGACAGCATCACCAACATCTCTCTCAAGTGTCTCCAAAGGAAACCCACGCTGCCTCTTTGGACTCTGGGACATTATCACTGTCAGCCACGGGAGAAGGGCAGCCGTAATAGAAAGAAACACAAGAACCTGGAATTCTCGGACAGGTCTATTGGTGTCGGATGAGGAGATGGAGTTCAGAACCACTTGGTCGTTCCTACTCTGACATTTGTCCACCCCCATGCCTTCTGTGTTATGTGGCCAGGCACCCTGGGAGGCATCAAGTTACAAAAAAGGTTTAGGCGAGGTCTCTGCCTGTCTCACAGACCAGAAAGAGACAGGGAGCACAATCAATGGCATGCCGGGGGACACTCACTAAGCAAGCTCTAAAAGCAAGCCTGGTTCGCACCCCCTTCAGAATTCTCCTTCTCTTCAGTTTTTGTACCAGCCCCACGCTCCACCGTACCTTGCCAGCAGCTACACCCCACCTCCTGGGACTCAGGATATAGAGGAGCTCTGGGAAAGTCTTTCCCATTGCCAACAATCACTGTGATTCATCCGCCACCCAGAGAGCATCCCGGTGGCTGTCTGCTTAGTTAGCATTTGATAAAGCATCGTTCAATATTAACGAACAGTTCCTAGGAAATTGAAAATAATCCCAGCAGGCCACTCAAACGGTAAATCTTCCTCTCGGAATATAAATCCTATGAATATTGGAGCCTGTGTGGATTTTTTCCCCCACAATGGATGAGACATGTAATGGATCAAATTCAAACGATTGAATAATTTATCTGGAAACCAAATTCCTCACTCTGCATTTTCTAATTTGCCACCTTGGATTCAGGCCACTGGTCGGCACTGCCAGAACCTGTTTTTGCTGGTTCTCATCAATGGCTTTATGGAGAACTGAGAGGGTACAGGTGCCCTTGAGTTTAGCTTCATCTTGCTTTTGCTGCTTAGAATTCCCTTTGAGAGTGCTAAGTGTCAACAGCCATAATTATTGAGTCACCTGATACAAGAAAAGATGTCACCTGGCCTGCCAAATGGTACATATTTCTGCCAGCTTGAGTGCCCTAAAGGAGGGGTGTAGGGCAGTGTGAGCAGATGGTCCACAAGCTCTGACAGCCAGAAACTGTCACAAGGGCCTCAGCTGTCTGAAGTGAGCTGAATCCTCACTGCATGGAACAGGGCAGTGACTGCCACCTTCTTTGTACAAAGTAAAAGAAGGAGCCAGCACTCGGGACAGGAAATGGGCTTGAATTTGTCTAAGAATAATGAAAACTCTGGGCACTTGCCCAAGGTGTGACCAAAATCTGACTCTGAGTTTTACAAAGGAAAAAAGCAGATAGGACTATGTCCCGATTAGAAGCATCCCCACCACCACCACCCAGACACTTTGCACATACCTACTCCTTTTCCAATCCAAATCAGTCAACAGTGGGGCTGGCTGTTTAAATATGGCCTTTACGCCACCTGTTTCTTGTTACCTGGTCGGAGAATTCCTTCTGTGAAGAGACATAAAGTCTACCCTCTCCTTATATGTTCCCAACAACAAACTGAATTACGATCCCACCAAAGTTCATGCTGGGGAACCCGTGAGTTTATTGTCACAGAGCATGGGCCAGGTGCTGACTGGAGGAGTGTGGGTGACCATGCCAAAGCAGCCACACTGGGAAGTCTTCACCTAACATGGGTGTTGGCATCCTTATAGTCAAATCAATGAAGCACCCTCTGGTAACCCTTCCCCACCAACAGACTCTAGTGGCTAGACAGTCTAGCAGCCCCCAAGACCATGAAGCCCTGTCTCCTGGACACACCATGTGCAATCAAGGCAGAATTGTAAAAAGTGGCTTCAAGGAGAGGCTAGGATCTCAAGAATCCCAAGCTCCCTTCTTAGGGAAATGTCAACAGCACATAGCCTCTCCTAATAAGCAGGCACAACTTATCCTCATCATGGTAGCTGTTTTGTTTGGAGGACCATACTCCATATTTCTTGTAATACCCACCTCTCTCTCTTTAAGCTGTGCCACTGAGATGGAGCACCTCTCTACTGATTCCCCTCTCTGCTTTAAAAATGTCCTCAAAGGACCCCAGCCCTTGACAGGATATGGCTAAAAGCCTAGTCAAAGAAAGGGCAGAAAAAAACATAGGGACTACCAAAACTTTGAAACAAATTCCAAACGTCCTTGAATGACATTCACTCTAGCTACCCCGGCCCACTCCTGGATGTAATGAGTTTCGTAGTGCTCTTTCTCTTACAGAATCAACCTGGTCTCCACTCCTGACACTCACAGTACCCTTCCTGGTGACTTTTTCAGTTGTTAGGAAAGTCCCATCGGTCTGCTCAAGCCATGCCCACATACCCTCCACAGAATGCCACCTTCCGTCAAGCCCACCTTGGGCTTGATCTCCTAAACTGCAGCCCATACCCTACAGCTAACCTTTCTGTATTAGGTGTTGTGGCTGACTGACTCTACTTGCAAGTTGTTCTCACGTTTTGTTGTGAGGCCTCAGGGTCTCCTCCCTTTACCAGACATTGTTGTCACTTGCTACTACGCCTGACAAGGACTCATTTCCATGTGAAACCCCTTCTTCTCACTGGCAGTATAGGGTCCTGGGAAAAGCAGACTCCTTCCTGAGTTGTAGAGAAATCCCACTACAGAAGAGCAAGCCATCAGCCAATACCCAGAAAGGGCTCCAGGCTGGGAAAGGAAGCGGGTGTTCACACAAGGCCTGTCAGCCAAGTCTGCTTTGGAGAAGGCCCTGCCCTCTATGTGAAATCTTTGGATCCTGAGGGAGAATTTTGACATTCTACCTTGTCGTGGTCCATCGAGTGAGGTTTTGTCCTCACAGGGGCTAAAGGAGCCAGTCAAAGGCATGACAGCATCAGAGACCAAGAGTGTGTGGACAGCTGGAATGAAATACTTAAACCGTGATGAGAGCCTGGTACTGCTGGCTCTACTCTGCAGTGACTTAAGAATTCAACACACACCCCAACTCTTCTGTGCCCCCTGCCTCGGGCACTAGCTGTAGGCCTGAACACATGACAGGAAAGGGAAGGTCAAACGGGAAATAAGAGGTACAGAGCAAGCTCCAGGGGAAAGGACCGTGAGAAGCCAAAGGGGTTGCAGCTCCTGGATGTAAGGAGCTGCAGACCTCCGTGAACCTCCCAGAGCCCTCTGGAAACTAAGCCTGGCATCCAATCGAATCCGCCAGGTGGCAGCCTTACTCCTGCTCAGCCCACAGACCATGCAGTGTGTAAAATCAACCACCAGAGGGCTACATAACGACGGCAGGCTGCATCAGGCAGCTGGTTACCTAGTAACCATGACGCAACGGGTCCTGTTTCCACCCTCCCCAAGGCCTCCCAGGTTATTTCTGGCAAAACAGACTGTTGCACAAGGAGTGGTTTCAGGAATCCTAGAATCGCTTCACTCTTAAACCGGGAGAATCTAAAACGGTCCGGGAGCCCCCAAACCCCGTGCGGCCGTCCTGGCGTCTAAGGGGTTGGGCTGCTATTCCTGCTCCCGAGATGCACATTTTCCATTCAGCTTTGTAGCCCCACCCTGATTTCCCTAGAGGCTAAAGGGAAGCAATACCTTCCTGCCGTCTCCTCCTTTCTAATCCAGGGCTAGATTAATGGGCATGTGACCCTCAGTGGGCCCTGTACCTCCTGCTCTTTGGTTTTACTCAAGGTAGCTGAGGAGGGAACAGTAAGGCCCACCTTGAACTTTCTGCAGTCTTGAATCTACCCCTCCCCCTCAAGGCCTCTGTCCCTTGTTTCAAACCTCTTCCAGTTTGGATGACCCTGATAATATTTCAGATAGGTAAAAGTGGCCTGGGAAGCCACAGGTGGCACCAAGAAAATGAGGCAGACACGAGACAAGGAGTGTGTTATAATGACTTCAAAGCCTGTGCCGTCTAGTCTGTGAAAGTCAAGGGGCCACTGGCCTGGCATGGGCAGTGACTCTGGGCACATCCCTGGGTCCTGAGGAATGCTTGGCCCTGGTGCTGGGTTTCCTAGGGTCTGTGAGTCACCAAGGTGGGGTCTCTGAGGGGCAACATCTTGAGGATCACACAGGCATGTGCAGCTCATTGTACTCGTCCTGGCCATCCTCATCAAAGTTTGGCTCCGCATCTTCAGAGTCCAGCTGCAGAAGGGAACACAGGGTTGGGAAAGGCCTGGGGTTATACAGGTCTCTTTCTGTTCCTCACAGCCTCTTCTAAACACCTCTCCCTGCTCCAAGACCCCAGCTTGAAGTACTTCTCCAGCCAAGGCCTTCATCACCAGGTCACCCAGCACTGCCGAATCACCCATACAACGGCAACTATGACATAGGATGCTCATTCCTAGGATCATGGCATCTCTGGAGCCCATATCTGAGCATGCAAGAATTGCAAAAATGGGACAGTGACCTGGCTCAGCAGATCAAGGTGCTTGCCACCAAGCCTGACAACCTACGTTCAATCCGCAGGTCCAGCATGGTGAAGAAAACCAACTCCTGAAGGTTGCGCTCTGACCTCAGCACATACACATAAAATACATTTTTGAAATAAATAATAATAATAAATAATAATAATAAATAATAATAATAAATAATAATAATAAATAATAATAATAAATAATAATAATAAATAATAATAATAAATAATAATAATAAATAATAATAATAAATAATAATAATAAATAATAATAATAAATAATAATAATAAATAATAATAATAAATAATAATAATAATAAAAAGTAAGAAAATAAAAAAAATTAAAGAATAGCAACAAGATATCCTTCCCTATAGCCGACAGAAATAAGGCTCAGGACTGAAGTCTGTGCTATGCCAACCCATGCGCAGCCCTCGGCCAGGTGTTTTCGTTCAGGCACAATCTGCCCTTCCCTGCTCTTTCTGAAGCCTCGTATCAACAGCTTTACTGAGATTCATATTTAAATCTCCCAACAGTTCAATGATAGAATCTACCAGCCCATTACACTGGTGAAAACAGCATACAGTAACTTTCCCAAGCTCACACAAACCAACAGGTAGTTGCGACTTGGTAACATGGAGCCCGGGTATCAAATTCCATTGCCCACCTTCCTTCATCCTGCCACCCCAAGCCGTCATCCCTTACCGCCTGCAGCTCCCTGTCCTGGAAGAGCCGGGGCAGAAGGCAACGCCTCAGAGGCACCGTGAGCAAGAGCAGGAAAGGAAAGGCCAGTGAGGCTGCCGTTGACTTGACCACCCAGAGAAGAGCAATGCAGCCCAGCTGGATGCAGGTGAACAGGTGCATCCGCCATGTCTTCACCTGGGGTACAGGTTCAGTCTCATTACACAGTGGCCATTCTGCCCCCACCCACCCCTGGGGGAACATGGGCTTTCCAGGTCCCAATGCACTCTTCCCCTCCACCTCCATCTGGGGGGGGTCCCTTCAGACTCCCTCCCATCATCCTGCATTTCCCCAGCTCCATGCATCCGGGCCTGACCTTGGTCACGTAGGGCTGCTCAGGATGGTGCTTTGCTGGCATGAAAATGAGCAGCAGACGTTGGGACAACTGGATACCAGACAGTGATGTGACCCCCATGTACAGAAAAATCCCGAAGAGCACAGCCAATGGGATCCGGCGCAGCACAGCCCCCATGACGATAGACAGGCCTGGAGGAGGTAACATAGATCTGCCTAACCCTGTCCTCTGTCTGCCTGGACAAAGGGCCTGGTAAGGGAACAAGATTCATCTGAGCAATCCGGGTGTCACAGACAGAGATGGAGCAGGACAAAGGGAAAGTAGGGAAGAGCTCCCAGAGTGTCCGTGGACCTGTTGGAGACCTGAGGGAGAGCTAAGCATGACGCACCTGCAGATTCAGGAGGGTCAAGCCCAGGATCATAAGGATTTCAAGCCACTGGGACCAAGAAAGCAAGTCTATGGGGAGACTCGGTGCTCACCCACAAGGCTGGCAATGAGCACTCCGGTGACCCGCTGCTCCCGAACCTCCTGGATCTGGGGCTTGTCACCAGGTGCGATGGCAGTGCGCATGACGGTCAATGCATTGACATGGGTAACAGAGCGGACAGTGGCAGCTGTGAGCCAGGGCAATCCAAACAACCCACAGAGGCCACCCAAAGAGCCAATCAAAAGCAGGTCAAGATGGAAGCCGGAACCCTTGAGTAGCCTCCGGGCCTTCTGGCTGACAATGAGCCTATGGGGAAGAGAGAGAAGGAGCCAACTAGCAGGCAAAACTATAATGCACATGACATTCACCCAAAGCTTGAGGGGAGGGGGGGACCACTGCTGACGACAGCTCTCCCTGGACCTGTCAGCTTCCTCTTTTACATTCCCAAATTAAAGTTCTCACACTGCAGGAAATCGGAGCCAAATTCTCATGCTGTGAACATTTAAAAGCACCACAAAAGCCAGATGCCAGATTGTACCATGTTATTTTGGTTTAACCAAAATGAGAAATGTGTGAGCATCCATCGCTGGGTGAGAGAACACCCTGCCAGAATTCTTAGAACTGCCAAGTGCCACCCTGCCAGGGGTGGTAGTGAGAGATCCCAGGTCAAACTATCACAGGAGAACCATGCCTGGTCCCACATGTCCACGCCTGTTCCAGCCTATTGCTCTAGCTCCTCCACCCCCTCCTCCTCACTCCTGCCAGATCCCAACAAACGTCTCGCCTTCTATCACGGGGCATTCCTACACAGATAAGATACCCCTGCCTTAATCCTGAAGCCAAGCCATCCCTCCATCTCCCCTTCCCTCTCCAGGCCTCTCACGCAGTGATCTGTGTCTCCATGAATATCAGGATGAGGACCAAGAGCGCAGGGACAGCAGCAGCCACCATCATCCATGGCGGGAAAGGGCGGGCGCTGCCCAAGGGTGGGATGAACCATGTGCGCTTATGCGGGGAAGTCACTGAGAGCCCTGTAGGCACCGTCAGCTTCTGCATGGCAAGAAAGAAGACATGGGCCAGAGATAGAAGTTTCCCAGAACTCTAGGGAGCTGGCAAAACTCATTTTCAGTATCCAAAGTCACTGCTCCTCCAGGGGCTGGCAGAGGGCACAGCAATGGGACCTTCCCTCGAGCTCCACAGCGATGGGGAGACCTGGTACTCTGCACCAGCCCACTTCCAGATTCCTCCCACTCGGGATCATACACAGTTCAGATAACCTGGGTAGCCCCTGGGCTGAATGTCATAGCAGCCCCTGATGTGGCCCAACTTGTTGTCACTCAACCAGGAGAGCTAGGCTGCAACCCTGCTCCAGAGCCTGGGGCACACTCACCTGTGTGTAGGTGTCTGTGATAGAGTAGTCCACCAGGACCATCACCAAGATGGAAATGGGAATGCCAAAATCCCCAATGATGCGTCGAGCCTGCCAAGGGCACCCAAAGGATGAGGGTCAGGAGATACCCCTAACCCTTTCTGGGGCCAGCTGGGAGGCACTGCTGTCTTGTTTCAGGGAGGGGCAATGGATTGACCAGGAGAGGTTGGGGGGGAGAAGACTATCTGGAGCTGAGCCTAGCAAAGACACAGGAATCATGGGAGACAGGGTACCTTGCCCCCCAGGAAGCGGCTGTTCCTGAACTTGCGCAGGAAGAAGGCAATGAGGAAAGTCCCCAGCATGAGGATGAGGGACAGCAGAGCTGTATTGGGCTGGTTCCTTGGGCCTGGTGGTCCTTCTGTGGGGGGCAGGGCACTACTATTCAGTTCCAAGCCAGTCTCCAGGGTCCCCTCCAGGGCCCCCTCCGGTGGGTAGAATGGCAGCAGAGGATGCTCTGTGAACACCTATGTATGGAGGAGAGGGTGCCTCACTCTCCACAGGCAGATGACAAACCCAGCCCTGATGTCCCTAACCCCCATTTCCCAACACACCCAAATGAAACCCCTCTCCCCATACCTTGCTCTCAGCAAGCTCCAGGCCTCCCGAGGGCACCACCTCCCTATCCCTACCCACCCTCTGGGAACTGCCACACCTTGTAAAGCTTGTGAAAAGTCTCATAGATGAAAATTAGCGAGATGAGGAAAGCGAAGATCTCCTGGGTAAATGGTGAGATGTAGCGGACCAGGAAGCTGCCCTCTGCAGCCACCAGGGCCAGGACGAAGACCACCAGCCAGAGGCCCACCCACACTCTGCCGGTGAGGTATTCCAGGTCCTGAGCTCGGCAGAACTAGAGATAGTAAGGAGGTGGTTACCTACAGGTGGGCTATCCGCCCCGGAAGTTAGTGCCTATGGGTTGAACAGGGGTAGAAGCCAAGGAAAAGAAGGGATAAAGTACAGAGAACTAGCCCCTGGAGGAGGGACTGGCAAAGGGTGGGAAGGAAGGGCAGTGCCTGGGGTAGGGGGCAGGCTTCACCTTGAAGAAGGCTTCTTCGAAGACCAGCAGGGGTCCAGAGAAGCCCACCACGAGCAGTGGCTGGGCCCCCAGCAGAGAGAAGAGGACCCCAAGCACGGCTGTGGACACAATCAGCTCTGACACGCCCATTAGCCCCTCCGTCTTCTCTCCTACGGTGGAAAGGGGCCAGTAGGGTGGCTGTAGCCTGGCTCTTCCTGTCCTGTCCCCTTCCTCATCTAGCTCCCCAGTAAGAGCAAGACAGCTCCCAGAATGACAGACAAGGCCTCACCCACATTCCCAAGGAGACCACGGGGATCCTGCCCTTGCACCCCTCATTTATAAAGTGCCCCCCAAAAGGGAGTTGCAGCTTTCCTATTCCCTCTGTCCATCGCCCCAGCTAAGTGATGTGAACCACATATCCTTGCATGTGACATCTAGCCCCCAGCGTGACCCCAAGAGCCTCACCTAGTAGCCCCCCAAAGGTGATGGCAGGGCTGAGGGCTGCGAAGTAGATGAAGAGTACG